TTTTTAGGGTATTTTGGGGATATTGTTAGGATATTTTTGGGGTATTTTGGGGTTTTTTTGCCCACCTTTGCTGTAGGTGCTGACCAGGGTTTTGGTGTATTTTTGGGGATATTTTTGGGATATTTTTGGGGTATTTTTAGGGTATTTTGGGGATATTGTTAGGCTATTTTTGGGATATTCTGGGGGATATTTTTAGGATATTTTTGGGATATTTTTGGGGTATTTTGGGGTTTTTTGCCCACCTTTGCTGTAGGTGCTGACCAGGGTTTTGGTGTATTTTTGGGGATATTTTTGGGGTATTTGGGGGATATTTTTGGGATATTTTTGGGATATTTTTAGGGTATTTTGGGGATATTGTTAGGCTATTTTTGGGATATTTTTGGGCTATTTTTGGGGTATTTTGGGGTTTTTTTGCCCACCTTTGCTGTAGGTGCTGACCAGGGTGGCGAAATTGGCCACGAGGGTGATCGGGGAGAAGTCGGCGACGTCGGGGAGGGCGAGGGTGCGGAGGAGGGAGTGGAGCCGCTCGGCACAGAACCTGGGGGAGTCGAATTTGGGGGTCAGGGACCCCAAAATCCTCCTCAGGGACCCCAAAAACCCCCAAAACCACCCCAAAATCCTCCTCAGGGACCCCAAAAACCCCAAAAACCCCAAAAACTTCCCCAAAAACCCCCATGGGGAGGGTGCGGAGGAGGGAGTGGAGCCGCTCGGCACAGAACCTGGGGGAGGCGAGTTTGGGGGTCAGGGACCCCAAAAACCCCCAAAACCACCCCAAAATCCTCCTCAGGGACCCTAAAAACCCCAAAAACCACCCCAAAATCCTCCTCAGGGACCCCAAAAACCCCAAAAACGACCCCAAAAACCCCCAAAACCACCCAAAAAAACCCCAAAAAAACACCCCAAAAACTCCAAAATTTGTTTTTTTTGGGGTGCCAATCCCATTTTTTCAGGGCTTTTAGGGGTCCCAGAGAGGTTTTTAGGGGTGCAGATCCCATTTTTGGGGGTCCCAATCCCATTTTTGGGGTCCCAATCCCGTTTTTGGGGGTCCCAATCCCATTTTTTGGGGGTTTTTGGGGTGCCAGACCTGAGGGCCTTGCGCTCGATGCAGACGCGCTCGCGCAGCTCCCGCAGGAACCGGGGGGGTTTTTAGGGGTCCCGATCCCATTTTTTGGGGTTCCAATCCCATTTTTGGGGTTCCCAATCCCATTTTTGGGGGTCCCAATCCCATTTTTTGGGGTCCCAATGCCATTTTTTGGGGTCCCAATCCCATTTTTTGGTGTTTTTGGGGTGTCAGACCTGAGGGGTTTGCGCTCGATGCAGACGCGCTCGCGCAGCTCCCGCAGGAACCCAGGGGGGTTTTTAGGGGTCCCGATCCCATTTTTGGGGTCCCAATCCCATTTTTTGGGGTGCAGATCCCGTTTTTTGGGGTCCCAATCCCGTTTTTTGGGGTGCAGATCCCGTTTTTGGGGGTGCCAGACCTGAGGGGTTTGCGCTCGATGCAGACGCGCTTGCGCAGCTCCCGCAGGAACCCGGGGGGGTTTTTAGGGTTCCTGATCCCATTTTTTGGGGTCCCAATCCCATTTTTTGGGGTCCCAATCCCATTTTTTGGGGTGCAGATCCCATTTTTGGGGGTCCCAATCCCATTTTTGGGGGTCCCAATGCCATTTTTTGGGGTGCAGATCCCATTTTTGGGGGTTTTTGGGGTGCCAGACCTGAGGGGTTTGCGCTCGATGCAGACGCGCTTGCGCAGCTCCCGCAGGAACCCAGGGGGGTTTTTAGGGAATTTTGGGGGTCCCAATCCCATTTTTGGGGGTGCAGATCCCGTTTTTGGGGGTCCCAATCCCATTTTTTGGTGTTTTTGGGGTGCCAGACCTGAGGGGCTTGCGCTCGATGCAGACGCGCTCGCGCAGCTCCCGCAGGAACCCAGGGGGGTTTTT